ATCCTTATATGTACAATTTACTGACATTAATTATGTGTATCATGCTGTTCATTCACCCCCATTATTTCTTCCTCAATATTTCCATTATCCTTAATGGAATCTCAGTGTCCTTTAAGAATTTAATCTCTTCTCCTCCCTCCTACCCATTCCTGGTAACCACTAATAAACTTTAGTCTCTATATGCTTGCCTCTTCTTGACACTGCCCACTCACTTTGTTATCCAATGTTCTTGTCTTTTTTTGCCTCTTTTATGTCCAAAATCCTGGCACCCCCTTTGCCTATTAGGAAAGTGTGGGTAGCTGGATTATGTTGAAAGGGAACAATGTGTACCCAGATGCTTATGGAAAAGGCAGTGTGGTATCATCAAAGGATCTTCGGTCCTCATGGGACAACTCACCCAGTTGTCATACTATAATTCACAAAAGCTTATGATCTGCATCCCTTGTGAATTTAGTAGTACCTGGGGTCATAAAAGCATGCAAGCAGCAACCTAAAATACAGTTTCTGGTCTCTTCTCATCAGGAACAAAAGAATAAGGTGATAAGGACCAAAACTTAGCTGAAGATTGGTGAAAACCAAGTCTACAAAGCTGATAAATCTCTCTGAGCCACAATCTCATTTACTCTGTGATCAGAAGAACTGGATGGTGTCCGGCTACCACCTCCATCTGATCTATGTGATCCAGATCACAACAGATGGTCCTAGATAGAACAGGAGAAAAACAGGATAAAACTAAATTTTATATTTAAAATTAAAACGTTTAAGTCCTAACTAACTGTACCACCTAAAACTAAAGGACTCCCTGTGATTACTGTCCTGAGCATTCTTTAAATCTTGAAACAGATATTCTGAGATCACCTTTTAGCACCAAAGCAAAGTGACACACAAATTAAAGGATTAGACTGGCACTCTACTAAAAACCTGCCTGTATTGGTGCAAAACGCTAGCTTTTAATCTAAGACAAGAATGAGAAGATTGGGAGTTCAGGGAGCAGGGAAATGAGAGTGTTGGGAAATGAACTGACCAAGATACAATTAAACACAACTAAAAGCTCTGTGGTCTAGCAGGGAAAAGCTGTGCACCAGCGCCTCTGTGGGAGGAAGATGGGCAATCTCCTCCTTTGCAATTTGCTGCCTCTGAAAACCAGCTAGAGGGTCAGGTATGAGTCGGTTCCAACTCAACAGTACACAACAACAAACATGATTAAATGGATGGTGATCAATTTGTGTAAAAACTGTCAAGCATAAACCCAAAACACCATCTGTAAAACTGTGTGAACTCATCTTGATTGCTAAATTCTCTGAATCTTATTTTTCTCATTAATGAACACATAACAATGATAATACTTATTTGCTATGTAGTTATGTGCTGTTGAGTTTCTGGTGACCATAGCGACTCTATGTACAGCAGCTCTGCAGCCTGCCCTGTCCTGAGCCAGTCTCACTCACTCCGACACACCAATCTCCACTGTCCCACTTACTGTGTCAATCCATCTCATCTGAGGTCTCCCTCTCTGGACTGTCCATCCACCCTTCCAAGCACGATGTCCTTCTCCAAGGATCAGTCCCTTCTGACCACTTGCCCAAAGTATGTGAGATGGAGCTTCAAAATCCTAGCTTTCAAGGACAAACTTAGTTTCACCTTCTCCAAGACAGACCTCTTTGTTTTCTTGTTGGTCCCTGGTATGTTCAAGACTCTTCTCCAGCACAACTCAAAGGCATCAATTCTTCCGTCATCCTTAGTCACTGTCCAGCTGTCTGATGCAAAGCAAGTAGTTGTGAAGACCATGGGGTGCCTGACAGCAAATTTTCCCAATGCATCTTTCGATTTCTTGATTGCTTGTGCCAAGAGTGTTGATTGAGGGGCCAAGCAAGCTGTAACTGTTAACAATCTTAATCTCTTCTCCATCCATCATGGTGCTGCCAATTTGTCCAGTGGTGAGAATCTTTGTCTTCTTAATGTTGAGCTTCAATCTATACTGAAGACAGCAGTCCTTGACCTTCTGCAGCAAGTGCTTCAGGTCCACCTCAGTTTCAGCAAGCAGGGTTGTGTTATCTGCATAACATAGGTTATGAGGAGTCTTCCTCCAGTCATGATCCTCATAAGGCCCAGCTTCCTGAATGATCTGTTCTGCATATAGATTGAAAAGGTATGGAGACAGGATGCATCCCTGATGCACATCTTTCCTGATTTTGAATCATGCAGTGTGTCCTTGCTCTGTTCTGAGGACTGCTTCCTGGTCCAAGCATAGGTTTCACATAAGCACAATCAAGTGTTCCCATTTTTGTCAAGATTAGCCACAATTTGTTGTGATCCATACAGTCAAACACCTTTGCACATTCAATGAAACAGACATTCCTCTTGTACTCTTTGCTTTTGAAATGGAAAAAAATATGTAAAAATGCTCTATGAACTTAGAAGCCCATAGGATTGTGAATGAATCACTAATGGGGGAGAGTAAGAACGAGTCCCATATCCAAAGAATAAAAGGGAAAAAAAAAACAAGAGTTAAGAGCCTAGCTTAATCCCGAAGGTATGAGGCTTGAATCCACCAGATGCTCCCCTGGAGAAGGAGAGTCAATCTCCTGTTCCAGTCAGATCCGGATTGGTACACAACAAGAAGGGGGGGGGGGGGAGAAAGAAAGAAAAGAGCCTCTCCTTGTGTAGAATCCAGGACTTATGAATCCTTCCTGCTTCTTCAAAGAGAGAGTTTACGATTATATACTGGACCCCCTAAGTGCAAAGTTGGGAAAGAACCAAGAGAAGGTAAGGCTGGCAGACAGGCCAAGGCCCTGGGAGCCCCTGAGGCAGGGCTGTGGCCCCCTGGACCTTCCACTGTCATCCTTTAGACCTCAGGAGACATCTATTTCTGTCTGCCTCTCTTCTCGCATGACACTGTCCACCGTTCTCCTGGAGGAGTGCACTGGGAGTGCTCTCCGTGGACTGGAGGAAAAACAGCTCCCCTCTCCCACTCCCTCAGGGTGCTGGTACTCCCAAAGGGGGCACTGCTCCTCCCCCATTTTCAAACAATCTCTGCAACCGAAACTTCCCTATGTCCGAAACTTCCCTATGTCCAAAACTTCCCTATGTCCGTTAGGTTCTGCATCACTCGTCGGGAGGCAGGAAACACAGGGTGTGTGTACAAAGAAGCCTTATTACTATTATTATGTCTGATTAGTCCCATAATGATCTATTATTAACATGTTGATGCATAGGCTCTTAAGAAACTGTGGATCTGGAAGAGCAGATCAAGACGGAGCAGTTATAGCACCTAAGAAAGCCATCTCCCAGTCCCCACCCACCCCTGCTGACACAGGAGTTCCCCATCCTCCCCCAATGGAAATAAATGGGAGAAGGGTGGAAGGGATAAATAACGTTTATTGAGCCTCTCAGAGTTGTCCATCCCTGTTCTGGGAGCCTCCATAAGTGTTACCTAACTTACTCATCACTACAAACTCATGAGATAGGAACAAATAATTGTCCTGTTTGACAGATGAGGAAATTGAGAGAGGTTCATGATCTTGCCCAAAGTGGGCAGGGCAGAGCAACCAAGCGGGAAGAGCTGAGGTCTGAACCCAAGGTTGCCAAACTCCTTGTCTTTACTCAGTAAGCTTTAGGAAGAAAGGGGAGAGAAATCTTCCCTCTCTATCCCTTTTCGGAAGCAGGAGTGGCATCTACTTCCTAAATCACATGCTTCTGGAAACTCGATGAACATAGAGAAATGACGATAGTTACAGTACAGGGCTCAGGTCTTTTGTTCATAGCGTTGCTATGAGTCGTGGACGGCATTTAATAGCAACAACAGTCCCTTTTCAGCTTAGTATCCATGGAAAAACCCACTGCCTTCCAGCGGAGAAAGTGGAAAAAGGGCTGGTGAGGTGGGGAAAGTTTAAAGTCTACCTTGGGGAAGCAACAGGCTGGAGCTGTGTTTAGACCTGGGATTGACTGTCCCTGACAATCCAGCCTTTTGGACTGAGCCGCCCCTCCAGGTGTATGTAAAGAAGAGGACAGCAGACAGTGACATCTCCAGGTCACCATGGAAGGGGGCCTTCCTCAGAGCAGGAAGAAGGCACAGAGTGCCCCTCAAGTCTCCTCTCTCCTTAGTGGGGATCTCCTACCGCCTACTGGTCTCCTGCAGTGAATGTGGATAGGGAGTGTCTGAGGCAGAAGTATCCAAGTAGAGATAACTGTGGTCAGTATCCTTTCGGACTTGCATGGTGGTGGTGGTGGTGTGTGTGGGGGACAGACTGGTAGGCAACGGAATCAGTACAGGCTCGGTGACCCCTTTCATTCCCCACGCTCAAGATTTCTTTCTTTTTTCGATTGCACAATTGCAAGGGCGGCCAAGTTCAGGAAAGAAGCAGAAGCAGCTAGGGGCCAGGACTCCTGCGGCCTGGACTGCCTCCAACAGCTGTCTGACACCCACCAAGAAAGCCTCAGCCGGTGCCTCTGCGTCCACTGAGCAAACCCACCCCCTTGGCCAGCAGAGAGCCAAGCTTCTATAGGACAGCCTCCCTCGCTCTGGCCTCCCCCTTTTGTCCAAGGCCCTAGAGAGCTCTGGTTTCAAGAAATGGCAGACCGGAGGCCAGAAGGCTAGAACCCCCCCACCCCGGCACCCGCCCTCCCTGCCTGGCGCCCAGCGCCTCCCGCGTGTGACGGAGCCCAGGCTGCGGCCCCGCCCTCGGGAGGGCCGGCCGGGGCAGGAATGCGCGGCTGGCGGGCGGGCGGCGCAGCAGGCGAGCGGTGGAACATGTAAGGGCACATCCCGCGAGCTGCGGCTCCGCGTGCACATCAAGCCCAGGGAGCTAGCGAGCGAGGGCGCGCGGCGCGAGCAGGCAGCGGGATTCAGGGGCCGAGGAGCAGCGGCCAGAGGCGCGTCGGGCAGCGTGAGCTGCGCGGAGGAAGCAGCGTGGACGCGAGCGGGAGGCGGGCGCGGAGCGGTCCAGCAGGCCCCGCGGAGGCGGCGGAGCAGCGCGGTGCGGTGGTAACAGGCGGTCGGGGCGCAGGTGGGCAGGGCACGTCGCCAGCCAGCCCGGGGCGCCAGAATCAGGCGCTGAGAGCCGGGAGGGGCGCCGCGCCCGCCGCAGCCTGCTACCTTCCCGCGATCTCGGGGCGCCCATGACTGCGGCGGCGACCGTGCTCAAGGAGGGCGTGCTGGAGAAGCGCAGCGGGGGGCTGCTGCAGCTGTGGAAGCGGAAGCGCTGCGTGCTCACCGAGCACGGGCTGCAGCTCTTCGAGGCCAAGGGCACCGGCGGCCGACCCAAAGAGCTCAGCTTCGCCCGCATCAAGGCGGTGGAGTGTGTGGAGAGCACCGGCCGCCACATCTACTTCACGCTGGTAACAGAGGGTGGCGGCGAGATCGACTTCCGCTGCCCTCTTGAAGACCCTGGCTGGAACGCCCAGATCACGCTGGGCCTGGTCAAGTTCAAGAACCAACAGGCCATCCAAACAGTGCGGGCCCGGCAGAGCCTAGGGACTGGGACCCTTGTGTCCTAACCACCCGGGGATACCATCTTTCCTTTCTCCCGCCCACCACGGCCGTGGCCAGAGGTCCTGCCAGGTAAGCTCCTGCAAGCTTGCTTGTCTTTCCCTCTTTCCCTTATGGAGAGAATCAAGACTCCCACTGGCACCCTTCCTAAGGAGGTTCCTGGGGTCAACAGAGTAGGAGCCCCTGACTCTGAACTGGGGAGATGGGAAGTGCCTGGCTTGGCCGAGGCGGGGGGAGGGGCAGTGAACAGAGCTGGATTGGCCACTCTCAGTCAATAGGTTGCATCTGGACCCAAAAGCTCAGAGCCTGGAAGTGGAGACTTCAGAATGGCATGTCTCGTCCTACATGTTGATTCGGCTCTAGTTCACAAGGGAGGCCAACTGCACATTGCCTCTGGCTACGGGGCTTCTTACCCCCACCCAGGGTAGGGCTTCTGGGAGGAATGAATGATGTGACGCTGCATTTGCTTGCTCCTGCAAAGACAAACACATGTCGTTGGAGACTGAGCATGGAATTGAAGCAGAAAGTCAGAAGTCCTAAAATAGCAAAGGTATAGTCAGTTGTTGGGAACAGAATTTAGGAGCCCCAGCACCCTCAGTAGTGCCTCAGTGGGAAGCTTTAGCTGGTCTGAGCTTGGGGCTCCAGCTATTCATTCTTGAAAATAGATTTGGAGTCCTAAAGCTGAGTTGCTGAAAAATAAGAAAGTTGGAAAGTGAGTCTGAATAAAGGCCATCTCTATTCATCTGAATAGATGACAGTGAGTGCCAAGAAGGGTCTCCATGTTCTCCTGCCCTTACGTACCCTTCAAGACCTTTGTAGGTCAAAGGAGGAGAGGGAGGAGAGCTGAGAGGAGGGGGTGAGCCACGGGGTCCAGTGGGTGGATAGGAAGCTGTGGGATGGGATTAGGATTTGTGATGTCTTAATTCTCCTTGAGCAATGAGGAAGTTACTGTTAGTATTAGCTGCCTTCCAGTTGATTCCAACATATAACCACTCTAGATACAACTGATTCTGCATCATCTTTTTACAATATTTGAATCACTGTCACAGCCATTATGTCAGACCATCTCATGGAGAATCTTTGTCTTCACTGACCTTTTTACTTTACCAAGAAGCTCTGAAGGCCTAATGGGTGAGGAGTTGCCTTGCCAACACAAAGGCAGAGGGTTCGAGTCCACCATCCACTCCCTGGGAGAAACATGGGATATATCCTGTGCAGTTTACACTCTTTGGAAACTTGCGGCAGGGTCAGCTATAAGTCTTTTCCAACTTGATGGGGCATAACAACTACTTTACCAAGTATGATGTCCTTCTCCATAAAACTGTTCCTTCTTGATAACACGCCCAAAGTATGTGAAATAATGTCTTGCCATCGCTGCTTCTTTCATCCGCCTTGCTAGCCGCACTCCTTTTTTTTTTTTTTTACAGTTTTATAACTTTATTTGACAATCAGCTATTAGTTTTCATCCACATTGACGGTCTGTAGATTTTTGAAAGTGGTGACAGGTACATAGGTAACCAATGTATACAGCTTGTTTGGGGAATCTTCATCCTCATTACGTTTTCTGGACAACTGTACACGAATGTGGTATGGGACATTCCTTATTCCTTTGGCCCAGACAGGCTAGCCGCACTTCTAAGAAAGATTTGTTCATTCTTCTGACAGCCCATTGTGCATTTACTGTTCTTTGCAATTAAGTCTAATTGCAGCTTTTGATTGAATGCACATGGGCAGTTAGTAATACCATGGCTTTGGTCAGGCATCCTTAGCCCTCAAAGTGACATCTTTGCATTTTTAACACTTTAATAAGGTCTTTTGCAGCAGGTTTGTCCAGTGCAATGTGTCATTTGCTTTCTTGACTGCTACATCTGCGGGCATTGGCTGTGCATCCAAGTAAAATGAATGCCTTGACAGCTGCAGTATTTTCTTTGTTTTCGCATGATGTTGCTTATTGGTTTCGTTGTGGGAATTTTAATTTAGAAGCAGAGATGTAAGGGAGGACCGGATTTGCGGTCAAGAAGCCCTAAGGGAGGGACCAGGAATAGAAGTTAGAAGCCCTGGCTCCCAGCCCTGTGCCTTCTTCCCCAGAGGCCCCTCCCTCCCGTGGGAACCAGAAAGCCCAGAAGTGAGGGAAGACTTACAGTATTCTAGTTTTAATTTTTCTAGTGGCAACCTAGATTCCCTTTACCCATCACCCCCATATTGTCACACATGGCCTGTCCTGTATCTTCTCATCAGGTATGAGAACTTCACCTGTATCTCACAGCCTCTGCTGCACCCCCTCCCAGATTGTGGTGAAGGCTAGCTGAGAGGCTGTTGTCCATGAGACCTACCGTGCTGACAGTTGATCCACTCTCCTTACAGCTGGAAGGACGCCGGCTCCTTCACTGACCACAGTGTCTTAGACAAATCCTTTCCACATTGGCCCCGCTGTGGGAAGGGTTGGGAAATTGACGTGAAACACTCAGCACATCCACCTTGCTGTCTCTTCCTACCCTGACTCTTGTTCTCTCTCTCCAGCTTCTTTGTCCCCCTGGCTCACATGGGCAGGACTCTGTTCTGGTTGGTGAGGCAGAAGCCATGAACGTGCGGAGGAAGCGTTGGAGCTGAAGGACTGGACAGAGCCTGAGAAGGCGGGCAGAAGGCCTTGCAGGGCTGAGGATGAAGATTCAGCTCCTGCACATTCTCAGGCTCTCGGGACACCCAGCGCTCAGAACTTCAAAGCCGTGGCCCCAGTGCCGTGTATCATGATGAAAAGCTGGCACAAGGCTCCCTCCTCTGGTGGCCCTGCAGACTGCTGTCAATTTCCAGGCTCTGTGTCACATCTGGGCACTAAGCCAATTGCCTCAGGACTCAGGAGGCCAGCCTGGCACCCAGCACTCAGAAGAGCCATTCTGGACTTAACTCTGGGGAGGGGGTGATGGGCCCAAGTCCCACACCTGGGGGTCTCCTGCTGCTTAGGTCCTTTTGGGACCCCCATCTCTCCAGGCCCTCTCTTTGCACACTTCTTCCCCCACCTCTTGCCCATCTTTCCCCACTGTGGTGCTGGGCCTGGAGGAGGTGGGGGTGGGGTGGGGGTTTGGCCATTACCATTTCACGCCTGTCCCACAATGAAGATGCCCGCAAAGGGCAGTGAACACACTGCTTGCTGACTGAATTTCTTTGCACACAGAGACCCAGTGCTTGGAGCATCCCTCTCACTCCTGATGCGACTATTTCCCAATCTATAACCCACTCAATACCTAACTGTTTAAGAGGAGGAGACACCGAAGCCTTGGTAGAAAGGGCCTCAGGTACCCCAGAAGAGGGACTGTAGAGACTGGACAGAGAGATTTCACACCGTCCAACTCAGTCCCAAAACTTGGCTTTCCATAGAGAACGTCTTGTCCCTGACATTCTGAGAAATAGCTGAGCTTTCTGGAGCTTGGACACTCTCATTTACAGATACCAGTTGCCATTGAGTTGATTTTGACTCATGGCAACAACTCCTTACATGGTGGAAGCGGTAGTGGTATATAGTAGTCTGTAGCATTGAGTTGGAACTGACCCATAGCTGGCCTCCAGTGGGTTTTCAGAGGCAGTAAGTAAATCGCAGGACAAAGATTACCCATCCTCTCGTGGAGCAGCTGGTGAATTCAAACCGTGCGCCTTCGCAGCATAGTTCCTTAGCTCTAGGCCACCAGCGCTGACCCCAGACAATTAGTGTGGAACTATTCTCCATAGGGTAGTAGATTGCCAGGCCTTTTTTCCTGAGACACTGCTCTGAGTAGATGCACTTCAAACTCAACTCACTGCTAAGTCAGAACCCAGTCATAGCTGACACGCCAGTGAGTTTTCAGAGATGATAAATCACAGGGGACTTTGTCCTGAGGAGCAACTCATGGGTTGGCAGTGTAGCTCCAATCACTATGCTACCAGAGCTTCCTCTGAGGAGACTAGAACCTCCAACTTTTCTGTTAGTGCTTTCTCCGTTTGCACTACTCAGGGCCTCCCTCCCATTTGTAAACTCAGGCTTTATACAGTCAAGCTTCCTTGCGGAATGGTTGGGTTTTGTGTTCTGTTGAGTCAGAACCAAACCATTGCTGACTTGCCAACGGGTTTTCAGAGGCTGTAAATCACACAGGAGATTGTCCAACTTTGATGGAGCAGATGGTGATTTGACCCACATCACTAGGCCTCGAGAACAGAATGGTTTAAAGGGAATGATTTAAACTTGGAGGACACGAGGGCAGAGCTAGCTGCGTTGGGTTATAGAGAAACGACTAATCGAGTGAACCTCTGGGACCTTCCTGTTAGAGTGTCTGCAGTTCAATCTGTTTTTGCTCCACCATTCACCCACATCAGACCTCTGTTACAAGCAGTGGGCCCCTTCAGAGTCTCCGTGAGGGGAGAACTGAGTGGTGCTTTTTAGGAGTGGGTCTCTGAAAAAGTAGGCGGTCTCCTGAATCGTTACTTTAACCTTATTCCCCACCAGCTTTCTCCACTCTTCCAATCAAAACCTCTCGGTTTCATGGCTCAGGGCCTCTGTGTCCTTTGCTTTCAAAGAAGCTTCTTGCTTGTCTGATAGGTGAACCACATCTAATGACTGAGTAAGACTTTTCCATTTACAAGGGGATTCTTACAACTATGCCGTTGAATAGCCCATTAGTGACTTAGCTATGCCTTTGATAGTTTGATCTCAGCATGGCATACAAGTCTCTTCCACGTCAATTCTTCCTATGTGATGTCTGCATTGGGCTTTGGGAGAAAGATGGAGAGAATAGTTATTTTTGCTGCTATCAAATCTTTGTTCCTCTCAAGCTCATGTGTTAATGGACAAGAGTTCACATCTCCATTGCTCCTATAAAATAGCAACCTCAGAATAGAATCCTTGGTCTTGCAATCAAATTCAAAGGTGGGAATTCAGTCATGAAAAAATAAGCTGTCCATGCACTCAAGGGTGGGGGAGTGTTAGTGAGTAGATGGGATTCACTTTCTTAACAAATGTAGACAATAAATGTGCCCTGTGGTCTGGGCACTGTGCTCAGCATTGGAAATAAGGAGTTGAGGAAAAGACATGATTACTA